ATTAGAACAAAGTCAAGTAAAGTATAAGAGGAGTTGCATACGAGAAACAAGGCATAGATGATTGCATAGATCATAAGTCGGGGTAATTGGAAACGCTCAATAAATCTTCATTGTGTAAAAAACCAAATACCGGAGATGGATATTGGAGACGGATGCCGGAGTCGGCACAGATATAACAAGAAGTGAGTATGCCATATGTGAGTAAACAGAAAAGAACTATAAGTGTATGAAGGCGGCGGAGTCCCGCCTAAACCAACTTGCGGATAAATGGAACCCACAAAAGCAGGGCAGGCAAAACCCGCGGGGCAACACGGAACGCGCCATGGACATTGACCCAAGTGACTTCGAGGAGGCGCACCTTTTCGTGGCACCGGCGTCAGCACAGAACTTAACGGAGGGCTTCAGGGCGCTTATGAACATAATTCAGCTGCAATACCCCCAAGGCATACGGCGTGGAGAGAGGAACAGCCAGCCTCAAGATGAAGAAACATGCGCTTACATCGCGGGGGCGTGTGCGTGACAAGGCTACAGCTCCCAGAGCAGGTGGTGCGGTAGCTTTTGCAGGAGGACGGAGTGAGGAAAATGTCACAATCTGGGTGCCTGCCGACTTGGGGCAGACCACGCAAACCACAGAGGTACTAGCGGCCATTATGGCCATGCGGGGAACTAAACAGGACGCCAACCTAGTCATTATCACCAACAATCAATATCTGAGCAACACAATGTGCAAGAAGCTCACAAAGTGGGAAAGCCAAGGCTGGACCGGGGTAGAGGGCAGAGAAGCCCTGAGATGCCTTGCTAACAAGACGCGGGCGCGGCTGGGGCGCACAGTCTTTGTAGTAGCAAGAGACACGGATAACGCCTTGAAATCTGTGAGGAAATTGGTGTGGAAAGCGTGCGAAAGAGGCCTACAGCCATCCGACTAACCAGCCGGGAAGGCTTTGACGTCCCCGGATTGCAACTGGTGGTTACTGGTGCAGAAAACATGGTATGAGGCCATTGGAGATGATCAGCTCCCTGAGGAATGGCTTAAATGGCCCAGGGTTTTAGTGGGTCCCACAAGAACACTCCACCCTCCTTAGCGGATCCCCACACTGCCGCATAACGGCGTGTATTTGTACATTTCCCTGGGCGGTGGCCTCTCCCCTCTCTCTCTCTCCCTCTCCCCCTAGGGGTGCTTTCCCGGATCGCACCCTGCACCTTACACAAATCCTGCGGGATAACTTTGTTCACTGTGCATCTTTCGATATGTACCACCAAAAAAAAAAAAAAAAAAAAGGATATGGCTAGATCAAAATATCTGATAGATAATCATTAGATAGTGTGGATACACAAATAAGATTAAATTAATGAGAATATAGACCCTACCATTCAGGTATCCTTCGTGGTACTTCAATCAGCTGTGTAGCCTGTCTAGTTGTTAAGATATCATCTTATCAGGTATACATCAGCTAGTGATTGGCTTATGCTAGCATTACCATTCAGCTGTGACTATATGTTACTTAATGAAAGTTGTTTGTATGGACAAAACATACAACTTAGGCCTACCATTAAGCAATTGATGAGAGGTACATATATTGAAAAGTTGACATAGCCTGTCATGTGTATTTGATAGTTCCAGGTGCATACAGATACATAAATCTTTTTTTTAAAAGAAAGTTTCACAAAGACTGGATTTGTTATACCACTTTGTGATCGCATCACATGATGGAAATTGTGGGAACATATTACCCAATATGGCAGGAGGGGGGAGGGGAGGTCCCTGGAGGGTTGGAAAAAAAACTTTCCAACCCTATATCCATGATTGGAACTTTAAACCCCCCTTGGTAATCTTGCACAATTGGAAGAGGTCATCAATATTGCAGGGGGGAAATGTTACATACAATATATACTCTAGAAATTATAATCAGGTAATATGCATAATTAGAGCAGTTAAGTAAACAACAACAAAAAACTATGAGTAGCTATGTTGACAGTCACCTCCACATGCTGTATAGTAGGATTCATTGTCAGAATCATCTCCTGGAGGTAGCTCCACAATGTCTAGTATATCCTGGTACATTACAGTCTGGAATGCAGTATTTTGTAGCTCTACTCTCTCCTTATATGCTACAGCTCGGAGTGCTGTTCTATAGTGGCCATAAACCAAGTTGATATTGGCACCCTTGCTCAGAAGCAGCTTTATAATTTCTGTTGCTCCCTGGGCAGCTGCAGCTTGGAGTGCTGTTCCACATTTGCCACTAACCAAGTTAATATTGGCACCCCTGTTCAGAAGCAGCTCTACGATCTCTATTGATCCCCTAGCAGCTGCAGCTTGGAGTGCTGTTCCATATTTACCACCAACTGCATTAACATCAGCACCTTTGCTCAAAAGCAGCTCTACAATCTGTATTGCTTCACAGGATGCTGCAGCTTGGAGTGCTGTTCCATATTTACCACCAACCAAGTTAACAAGTCATCATTTTCAGCTATCTTCTGTTGAATGTATGTCTCAATGTCCTTTGCCTTTGCAGCAATTTGAATTTCTGATGCAGACCATTCCTGGAGAGGCATGATAGTTGGACGGGTAGTGATCATCAAGTTAATATGTCCTCCAATAGCAAGTAGCTTCTTAACAAGAGATAACTGTACTTGTTCCGAGTACTCATCTAGAGCATCCACAACAACAAAAAATTGAGAAAATTGTGCTGCTGATGATTTTAAGAGAGCCTGAATATTATTGAGAGGAATGTGTTGAACTCCTTGCTCAGTATAAAGCTCATCAAACAGTCTTTTAGCCTCTGTGATATCCTGTTTCAGAGACAACTGCCCCCATATGGCACCTAATAAATTGGCATCATTTTGTGTTTCTGGTTCCTTGTAATTGATATAAGCCCATGCAACACCTATAGGTCTGCCTCTTTGTATATTTTGCAGATAGTTCACCACCTTTGATCTGAATGGATGTTAATCAATATCTAGTAGATGCAGATGATTACTATTACACAATGACAGTTTTCCCAGCTCCAGCTATTATCTCTATCTGTAAGGGCAACCTCGCGAGGCTCGAAATCAGAGTCCTGAGCAGAGGGGGAATCCTTAGAGAACAAGCCAAGGAGCCCTCTGCTCAGGTGCACTACTATATACTAGTGACCGGAGTAATGATAGAGTGACTGCATAGCGACGAACAACGCATGGGAGAAGTCAGGTGTCGCCAATGGACCCTAGGTGAGTGTCGAGTAGCCCTCAAAGCTCCGGAGAGGCAGGTTTGGGACCATGATGCCAAGGGAAGAGCCCAGGCATCCTTAGAAGGCCCAGGAAGGGCTTCGGGGGGTCCAGACTGCCTCTGGGCGTCTCCGCTTGTGACCGTGACCGTGACAACCGGAATCGGAATCGGAATCGGAATCGATTCCGGGTGTGTGACCGTGACGTGACGGCCGGAAACGGAGAGGGGGGGCATGGAGCGGAGAGGGAAGGAGTCGGTCTAGCCCAAGGGCCGGGGAGTGTCGGAAAGGACCAATAGGAATGGCGGCAAGCCATGACCACTGGAGGGTAGCGACAGGAGGGTCACTCGGAGATGTCCCCGGACGTCTCCAGAGAGGTGGAGGTGTGAGGGCGTGCAGCCTGGGGCGCTGCAGTAGGCACGAGCCTTAACGGCAGTAGGCCTCACCCAAAGGAAGACCCGATGACGGGGGCCGTAGTGGCGGAGTGGGGGGCGGAGCCATGGCGGGGCTCAGCCATCCGAACGTAAGCCCGAACGCTGACATAGGTTGGGGACACCCAAGAGGTCCAACGGGTAGAGGTTGCAGGGAGACCTTGATGAGCGACAGCCCAGAGAGGCTATAAGGCCATAGGCTCGAGGTCTCAGAGGAAAGTGGTGCGGCCACATCCGGAGAGGTCTCCGATGGCATTAGTGATCCCTGATGGTGACTCCGGAGAGACTCCCAGAAAGGGGTGGCCATGGGAGTTGGAGGTTGGGGACCACTGGATGCGGGATGTGGTGGGAGAAGTGGAGGAGGAGCGTCAGGGTGCAGGAATACAGAGACTCGGGTGGAGACACGGAGACGCAAGTGGAGACGCGGAGACGTGAGCGGAGACGCGGCGCTTGATGGGATCAAGTGACGGCATCAGGGTTTCCCCTGACACTATCAGTATTAGCAGTAAAGAGACACAGCAACTTACGCATGCCAGAGCACCACAAGAGTTTTCCTGGTGTTGCCTCCCATTCTTGAAATTTTGGATGAGCTAAAAACCACTCCCCAGTATTCTCCACCCGAAGTGTGTTGATTTCACTCTGGCAAACAAAAGAATTGATAGGAGAAACCCATGCTCTGATGCTCTTCCTAATATCTGAAAGCCATGTTAGACACAAGTGGTCATAAACTAATAATTTGGACTTGCTGTTTGTATTTTCTGTGTCATGCACACTGTATAACTTGAGTTAAAGAAGCCAATACTCAAAAGACAACATACTAAATGTTGGCAGATTGGATGTGATCAAATCGGGGGCCTTCACCAACCCCACCTGGACCACCAGCCCCACCTGATGCGGGGCCGCCTGCCCCACCAGCGCCACCTGTCAATATAAGCCAGAGAATTTCCTGTCTTGGGAGGTTCTTACCAATTGCATTTATGTAGACTGCAGCAGATTGAGATCCAGAAGCTGGGGTGGGGGAAATTGGAGAGTGCTGGTACATCGTAGTCGAGAGGCAAGAGTAGCACGACTAGACCTCGTGGTTTCCGTGCGGCGTTCATGCACCGCGTCCATCTGTCGATCGTGTGAAGCCCGGTGGACTCTTTACCTCGGCGCTCGCGGCATGTGCAGAATCGGCCCGACCAAAGCCCATGAGCCAGTAGGGGCGTTGCAATGCGTGATGGCCACTTGTGGGCTCATGCACTGTGTCTTCCCCAGTCGCACATCTGCATAGGTAGTTGGTGCTGTCGACAGACGGCCATCCACGTATTGTGACAGACGCCTGCCAGTCACGGTGGCGTGTGACGGAGAATCCCGGCAACGTGGAGCGGAATACTATAGATATATCTCGCTCTTGCTGACCCGTCACTCTCCACGATTGTTGTGGCACATGTGGAACCCGCCCAAGGCCAATGACCTCTTCAGGACCTCGGCGCGGAAAAGCGCCGCACCTGCCTCAGGCTCCCGCCCCGTCTCTGTGCGCCACGTTATCGCTCGCGCGGAGTGTGCTACTGACCACAAGAAACCAGTAGGCACCCACTCGCTTCGGGTTCCACAAGCGCCTCTGGCGAGGGCCGGAGGGCCCCGACTTCTCCGTGCGTCGTTCCCCGTGCCGCTGCTCATATGCGTGACCACTCTGCACTGGCAGCTCAAGGGCTCCATCGCGCCGGGCCACATCGACGCGCAGCTTATCGGCGAGTTCGCGGAGGGGAAGAACAACAAAGCGCTCGCTTCAATCAACGGCGCCATTGGCCCAGGCGTAGCGCCTATTGAGGTGCACTGGGTGGCGGGCCAGCTGCGCGCGCGCATCGTTGTGTGGGACCTCGATGGCCATATTATGGTGACGCATTCGGGGCCGCGGATCGGGACGGCGACCAGGCGAGTGATGGAGATTCCGTGAGTGGTATTTCTGCTTGCAGTGGCAGAGGTTGATTGAGTACGTGCAGGGAGAAGTATCAAGCGAAGGCGCAAGAGGGCAAGGGTGAGAAGGCGGAGGCGAAACGGTGAACTTGAGGCTCGGTATCAGCCGAGGAGAAGCTGTACATCTGGTATACATACTGTACGTCGTTGTGCGATTGCGGCCGAGGCTTGTGGGCAGGTCCCACATTGCTGGATGACGTGGCTCCGGTGAAAAAAAAAGATAGACGCCGAGCTGTCACATCCGTCGATCACTCCATTTCGATCGATCAGCATGGGCCCAGAACGTGGTCCGTACGCCCGACGCTTCCCGCTTTTGTCTCCCACCACCACCCACCCCGCGCTTTGCGGCCCTTGCCCGCGCATACGACGCGTCACACGCGGTATTCGCAGTGCTACACGACCGCTGGCGGCCCACGAGGCGAGACAAGCTGCCCATAACGGTGTGTGGCGCGCTTCGTTTGTTTGCTTCGCTTATTGTCCTGCCAGGCCCCATCCTTTTTCCTCTTTCTTTTGCCGCAACACACACTACCTTGTCGATGTTCGGCAAATACGGGCGCCTAACACCGCCCGCGCCATCTGGCTCGCCCATCGTCGCCGCGCTCGACCCCCAGCCGCAGTTCCGCAGTTCGACCCCAAGACACTCTTCCTTGCTGAGGGCGGGACCCCGGTCGTGCTTGGCCGCGCGTCAAAGGCGGCCGCCAATGGGCGCCTCAACGACGCGGATAACGGCTTTTTGAAGGTACCTACGGGGAGGACGGCGCTGGGGAAGAGACATGCGGCGCTTTGTGTGCGGAATGGCACGGTATGTGGCTTGTGATTGTTGTCGCGCTCTCCATCGTTCATTTCGCCCCTTCTTTCTGACTTGGCTTTTGCGCTACGTTTGCGAGATCTTGGCTTCCATCTGCGACTCTCATGCCGTCCCCGCCCTCCATGTCCTTAGAATCTTCTTCTTTCAATTCTCGCTGTATTCCTCCCCGCCTCAAATTCATGCTTATTTCCCCTCAGCTGTACATCGCAATGCTCGAGCGCGACCGTGACGGCCTCGTCTCGCCCGCCGAAAGCAGTCCACCCCGCGAAGTCTCTCCCAAGTCAGAATTCATTGCCATCCGCTCCGTGCGTCCTTCGCTCACTCCTATCATTCTCTTCCTAACGAATTGGTAGCGTCTGGGTGTTGCTGGCGCCGCATCCCCGGGAGTTACCCTTCTCGTCGACATCCTCATCGAAATTGCCGATGTCGATGTGTGGCGGATACCCGCCTGCGCTCTCAAGCAGCACAAGAGCGCGCGGTTCCTGCGCGAGCTGCCGGGCGAGGAGAGCGATGAGGACTTCGCGATGGACGTGTGCTAGACCGTGATAGGAAGAACGAATTTGTTGTATCATTTGTCCGTGCTTTGCTTGTTTTCGTGTTTTGTTTGTGGGCTCATAGTTTGTATATGTACCTACGCTAGAGTGCGGCCGTTCGTCGCGTTAATGAGAGATGAAATATAGTACGCCTTCCTGCTGTCTTCAAGTCTGATAGACGCTATCCAGTTAATACTCTCCGGATGTGCTCCTCGTGGAGCACCCTCCCAAGTGCCTGGAAGTGCTCTATAATTCTTTCGTTAACCTCTGCAGGGTCAAAATAACAATACAGGGGCACGCTCACCGTTCATCTGTGCGCTGTCCAGCGCGGTTATGCAGAGCACATGTACGAGGACCAGGCTTGGGCTCAAAGCATTTCCGTTCTGCGGTAGCACCCTTGGCGAGAAAGAGAAGGAGAAGATCTGGGGCGGATCATGCCTGTTGATATCATTCTCTGGGCCGGCTGCGCACGGTCCGTCAACAGGGTCACATGTTGAAGAAACTAGACAAAATATTCCATGTTTATTAGAGTAGGACTACCAAGTATTTATACTACTCTCTTTATTCTAGTATATTCTGTATTCTGAGTCAATAGAAAGTGGGAGAACATTCCCGACGCGCTGAGCGTCGGTGATGGCGCAGCCGCTGACGTCATCTCTCGGCGATGACTCGGGTTCGCCAACCCGCTTACTTCAACACTCCCCCTCGAACACGAGTCGAGCCGTGCTTTCGCAAGCATGGTGCGCAGTGGAATACCTCGCCTGGGTTAGAGGCTTTCTTGTGGTGTTGTAGACTCCCCCTTTCTCCATGCAGTCTCTGATGCTGACTGTAAATCCCAGTGTCTGTTGCCCATGTGCCGTTTGCTGCTTGGCCGTTCCTATGGTCCTTCCTGGCCGCCCTCGGCGCCAGCGTCAACCCGGAGTCCATGCCGTGCCCATACCAAATCCGTTGCCGCGGCCCATAAGCCCTCGGTGTCCATGTCCGTGTCCGCGAGTACATTCCCATGTCGTGGTCGGTAGCCTCCGGCCCGGTTCCAGTTCAAGTCCATCCAATTCCGAGTCCGACTGTGATCCAGCCCATCGTGGCGATCCCTTTCGTGACTCTGTTCCATTCCATTCCAGGTCCCAACCAACTGATCCAGCCCATTGGCGATCCCATGGCGGTAACCCATCCCAAGCCAAATCCATGCCGCTCCGGCGCGCCGTGAGCCCGAAGCTGTGTCGATGACCGATCTGTGCTGACCATGCTCATCTGTCCGTGTGCTGGCGATGCTGAGCCATCTGCCATCCGTGATCGAGTGTCTGGTACGTGTCGTTCCCTTCGCCGCTCTTTCCCGCGCTGCTCTGCCAGCCCATTGCCGTAGAGGGATCACATCCCAAAAGGCTGCTCCTGGAGCCGTCCCATCGCGTGGTCGCTGTGTGTCGGAGGAGGGTGGTGCAGGGGATAATAAGTGGTGTCGCTACTGTGGGGTGCTTGGCCAATGTGAGGTGCCGGGGCCCATAACCTGTTGAAGAAACTAGACAAAATATTCCATGTTTATTAGAGTAGGACTACCAAGTATTTATACTACTCTCTTTATTCTAGTATATTCTGTATTCTGAGTCAATAGAAAGTGGGAGAACATTCCCGACGCCGCCGAGCGTCGGTGATGGCGCAGCCGCTGACGTCATCTCTCGGCGATGACTCGGGTTCGCCAACCCGCTTACTTCAACATCACATGCTCGCGGGATTCGTTTCTCCTTAAACACCACTCGCTCCGGAGGGACCGTCACCCAGTCTCCGCGTCCAGCTCTTTTCGTATATGAGCAGGGCGATGCCATCATTTATCATGTTGCGGCGCTGAGTCGCCGCTGACACGTGTAGCGCTGCCACAATAAGCGCTCGGCTGTGCAACATCGCCAATGCTCCTTGTCCTTGCACTCATCACTCTCCCCAGCGCGTCGCCCATGTCCGTGGTCCTGGATGCTCCAACGGTCTGCGGCAACCACCGGACGGCATACAACATCGTCTGGGGCTGCCTCGCCACGGTGTTCGCCTGTGTCTGGGTGCTACCCGCGCGGCCTTCATCGCCCGCGCCGCCCGCCTCCGCACCCGTATGCACGCGGTGGCGGTGGCAGCTCGCTGATGGGACACTTGCCCTCCGCGCGCGGGCCAGGCTGATGCTCGTTGGCCTGCCGGCATCCGAGCTCATCGCGGGCTTCGCGCTGCGCCCGCGCGTCATGGCGGGGGACTTTTCTGAAAGTACGCAGCATTGGATTGGCGAATGATGGTGTTGATCATGACGCTGCTTAGAGCTATTTGCCTCCCGGACGCACGGCTTCTCCATCTGCATGGTTCGTCGATCCGGCCGGCCACCCGCTCGTGACGTGGGCCCAGCTCACGGGGGCGTCGGGTTTCTATGATGTTACGACGCGGCATCTCGACGAGCATCCGCCGCCCACGCTTGGGGCACTCCAGGACACCGCCCGGAGCGTGATCATGGACAAGAGCAAGGGCGACGTGTTTGCCAAAGCCATCGCCTGCAGCCAGGGCGTGTGGTTCGGCGTGCAGTGTCTCGCGCGCATCGCACAAGGTCTGCCGCTGACACAGCTCGAAGTCGCGACTCTGGCGTTCGCCGTCGTCAAGTTGAAGACGTCAACCTGCCATTCACGTGGGCGCTCTGGTGGGACAAGCCGCTCGACGTGCAGGAGCCCATCGTGCTCGCCGCCGCACCGGAGGCGGTCCCGTCCGGGCCGTTCCTGCCGCCGAAGGACGCTGCTGACTCCTCGGCGGTTATCTCGGGCTTTGTCCGTCTTGTCGGACTCGCGCACTCGGCGGACACGTGGCGCGCAGACGTCGCGGCCAGCGTGCCCGACACGCCGCTCTCCATGGAGAACACCTGCGTCCTCGGCGAGCTCGGCATCGCGGCGGTCTTCGGCGCGGTGCACTGCGCGGTGGAGTGGGCCACGCGGACGGAGGTGGTGGCTGCGGATAATGGATCGATGGGTCACATGCTACACTGATCTACCCTACTACAGGTGCCCCCTTTTGAAATGGCGACGTCCTCGTCGCCGGCTCAACTCTCTAAGCCCATAAAACCTAAACTCTGTACCTCTGTAACTGCTATAGTCTGCTGAATGGGATAGTGGCTGTTGATGACCAAATCATAGGGCAATATTGATGGTCGATGGGAGGGTGTAGTGTCGAAAAACGGATGTAGGCACAGGGAAAGGTCGACCATGTTGTCCCCCCACACGACTCCACACCCTTGGATAACGTTCCGATGTAGACGGCCAGCCCTTGCTGACTCTACACCCTTGGACACGCTCCGATGTAGACGGCCGATGGCAAGGATGACACAGCCTCACGAGGACTGTGACGGCCTGGATGACGACTGGGAGATGGTGGTGGTGGTGGTGTATAGACTAAGGAAGGTGGTGGGAAGGATGCGCTGACTGCTGACTGGCTGCTGGGCTGAACTCGACACTACGCCAACTCGATGGTGCTGACAACAACTCTTCGATGGTCAGGTGGCAGGGATAGATGGATGGGAGACATGGGGATGACCACCCATGGACCGAGCATATAGAGCTGCGAACGAAACACACTCTCGTCACCACAATGGAGTGGGCCACGCGGACGGAGGTGGTGGCTGCGGATAATGGATCGATGGGTCACATGCTACACTGATCTACCCTACTACAGCGGCCTGGGCTGCGCCGTTCCCCTCCGCCGCGGAGAAGTGGCTGTGGCGATCCTCTGCGCTCCTGTTGACCAGTGCCCCACTTGTGGCGGTGCTCCCTGCGGGCATCGCAGGCACAAAGCTGTCCCCGCGCAGCCGTCCCTTCGTGTGGCTTGGCATCGGGCTGTATATTCCAGTCCGTCTCGTTCCGCTTGTGCTCCCGTTCACTGCTCTGCGGGCGCTCACGCCTGCAGACTTTGTTGATGTGGTTTATATCCTCCACCTATACTAGCTGTTGACGGGTTAGCCCGGGGTATCTCAGTCAGCATGATGTCATACTGTAGATGTATGTAGAAGACGGACGACTTTGAGACGAACGACTTGACGCCAATAGCTTCACAGACGTAAGCTATGTCTCCCGTTCTTGCGCTGCCACCATTGCCCAGTTCTGACGCATGGTCCCACGTCAACTTCTTGACCACCACCATCGGCACCTTCCTCTGCTGCGCTGCGCGTTCGCGTTAAGGAATCCCTGTGCCAGCCGGTCTACTTGTTTTGGTCGAAGAAGAAGAAGAAAAAAGTGGCGTCATGTCATGCGGATGACGTGATTTATTCGTGTCACTCCCGACAGCCGACTCACCCTTCTTTCCTTTCCGCCACGACGACCGCCGCGACGAGCTGGGCGCTGCTGCTGCTGCTCGCTGCCGCCGCCTACCTGTACCTCTTTGGTCCCGTGAGTGCCCGCGCCGCCGCTGTCACGTCATCGCTGACCTCGTGCCCTTTCCTTCTCCGACCTTCCCCACCTTCCACGGCCCCATCGCGCCCATCGCACCCGCTCTCGCCCTTCTACGCGCCCCAAAGACCCCGCCCCCGCTGTCGATGGTTGACAAGAAGATGGAAGAGAACATCGCGCAGTTTTGCGGCGTTACCGGCGCATCGTGCGTGCTCTTTCCCCCTCCCATTGTCGTTGCCGACTCCGATGGCGCCAGAGTGAAGGACGCGCGTCGCTTTCTAGAGAAGTATAAGCGGATGGACGCCGCGGTCGACGCCTACTATGGCGATCCGGACGCCATTCCCGCCTCACCCCCACCCCAGTCCCACTTTGTACGACCGGCGTCTGGCGCGTCTTCCACGGCCAGACTAAATGGGTTGTTTGATAAGTACAAGGGTGCGTCGCAACTGGGGACTACTCGCCATACTCACCAGCAACAGACGCGGATGGCGAGCAGATAACGGTCGATGGGACGATTCGGATGTGCGAGGACCTCAGCGTCGACCCCGAAGATGTGGTGTTGCTCGCTGTTGCCTTCGAGCTGAAGAGCCCTCGTATGGGCGAGTGGTCCAGAGCGGGCTATGTCGATGGCTGGAAGGCACTGGGGTCCGTCCTTCCATTCTGTCCCTCTTTCTCCGTGGCTCACTTACAGCCAGCGCTGACTCCATTCCCGCGATGCAAGCCGCGCTCTCCCGCCTCCGCACGCGCCTCACGTCTGGCGACGACCCCGAATACTTCCAGAAAGTCTACAACAACACGTTCGAGTTTGCGAAGAGCGAGGGGCAGCGGAGTATTCGTGCGTGTCGTCGTTTTTTCCCCCTGTCGATGGCTTATCGATGGCGATTATGTACAGCGCTCGAGACGGCGACCGCGCTGTGGGGACTGCTGCTGCCGTATGCCACGCTGGGCGGACGAGTGGACGATCATGGGGACACGCTTATGGGTGCGTGTACATTGCAGTCTTCCCTCCCCGTTTTTCCCGTCCTTCATTCTTCCTATCCCACTTTCGCTGCTTTTCGTGGCATGATGGTCTGTTATCACCACGCTTGTTGTCGGCGTCAATGGTGCCCTTCCGGCACGCTATGATTTGCTCCCTTCATACTATTCTTCCACCTTTCACCCTTCTTGCTTCTTTCCGCTCCTCGCATCCCCCCGGTGATCTCAGGAATGGTGGCGGCTTCATCGCTGTCAGTGCTTCTGGCGGTCAAGCGTTATCCTGTCCCATGTACTTTATCTTCTATCGCCGTCTCTCTCCATTCAACGCTGCCGTTGTGGCATGATATAATCACTATGCTACGAGAACGCGGCTTGCGCTTCTTCCCCTGTATCTTTCGCTCTTTTTATACCCGTTCCCTCTTCCACGACTCCGCTGACCTGCGATCTACAGACGGCGACGGGTGGCGTCCCGAATACAACGACTGGTGGTCCGAATTCCTCACGGAGAAGCGCAGCAAGGGCGTGAGCAAAGATACGTGGATCATGGTGCGTATCCTTCCCTTCCCCATCCAGCCCGTTCCTCTTTCGCCAACGCCGCCCTGGTGCTGACCCGCTCCCAGTTCCTCGACTTCGTCCGCTCGATCGACGCGCGCTTCGCGACATACGACGTCGACGCCGCGTGGCCGTCCTCCATCGACGACTTCGTCGAGTGGGCGAAGGAGCGCCTGGGCCCGGCGTAGCGCATCGCGCTGTCGGTGTACATGTTTTGTTTCTTGTTTGTCTCGTTTGCAGTCTGAATTTGTTGTCCGTGTATTTGATGTAGAAACGCCGCGGTGGCGACGCGCAATATATCGAGCTGTTGTTACGGTGTACCGAGCCAGATAACTTGCAAGTTTCCATGGTCTTGCGCAGTACCGGCCAAGTCTGCGATCACTCGCGATGCACGGGCTTCCTTTCCTTCCCTCGATTGAGGTGCATGAGACCGAATACCCTGGCGTTGCGCTTGCCGTGCGCGGGCCCCCCATCTACAGTAGTGTAAAAGTAGCTTCTGGTACTTGTCAAAGAATGAGGGTAGGTTAGTCTGGCCTATTGTGATATTATTATGCCAATGCATAATAATAATATCATGATATCATAATATGGTCCTTCACAGGATAATATATCCATGATTTAATACAATAATAATAATAATAATCTCAAATATTATATTACAATTGTAAGGGATCATGTGAGGTGACAACTGTGACTGATCACGTGACTGGTTTGTGTGCAGATAGCCCTGTACTTACAGCTCTTTTCAATGAGATGTGGAATGACACGAGCGAAACTCTTCTCGGCTAAGCTGTCATGGACCCCAGGCCACCGCTACCTTTTTGGGAGTTTTCGCCGTTTGGCTGTTGATAGGCAAGTAAACGACTTCGCAATTGCAGAAAAGCTAGACTAGAGTGTACCTAGTGTCCATTTGAGTATATAAAATGACTAAGTATTAGATCTCGTACTGTATGATGAGGCAATGCAAGGAGAAGACGATGAGCAGTAGTGTAAATCATGATATGCAAGCAAACTAAACGGAACAGAGACCAACGAGTGCAGCGGCAGCAGCATTAGTATCCCAGTAGCCTGAAGAGTCCGCTGAAGGGCTGGCCGGGTCGTAGAGTCCACCAAATGGTGTTGGCGTTGGAACCATACCCTTCGGGAGCGGCAGCCATTGGTCAAGATGCTCGTCATGGTACCAGGTGACCCGGTCCTAATAAGACTACAGGAAATACACGGAGGGACCGACCTAGCAGGGGAGGATCCAAAGAGAAGAAACTCTAAGGGTCCGCCTGCTAGGGCGCCAACTATATACTGGTCGTCCGTAACTGCCGACGTAGAGTGCAGAAGGCCTGAGCGGCGTCGCAGGCTCTGTCCCAAGGTGATCGTTGGGAGGGTCTTGACAGATCGGTGATTGTGCGGGCGAAGGAGGCCGTGGACGATGGTCGGGGTGGGTCGGAGCGTCCGAGGGGGCGCCGGTCGGATGCGCCTCGGATGCGTTCGGAGGGTCCGAAGGAGGCCGAAGCGGGGGTTCCCCTGACATCACCCCCCCCTTTGAATGCGGCGTCCCGACGCATAATACGGAAGGGCAGCGAGTCGAAGGTTGCTGAGGCGATGTGCCGTGGTTTACCCGGGTATATCCGATAGAAGTCCGCAATCTTGTCTGGCGCAAAGACACGGTCGAACCGGACCCACGAGTCGTGTGAAGCATCGTAGCCTTTCCACCTGACGAAATAGTTAAGACGCTTATACCTTATCCTGGCATCCAAGATTTCCTCGACTTCCCATTCGGGAACTCCGTCCTCTAGTTCGGGGGGCGGTTCGTCGTAGCCGGGTCGTCCATCGAAGGGGTCGTCCTGAGCGGGCTCGAGCTTAACAACGGGGAAGACGGGGTGGAGCTTGGAGTAACGCGGGGGAGGTCGAGCTTGTAGGCACCTTTGCTAACCTCTGCGAGCACCTTGAACGGTCCAAGGCGCTTGTGGGAGAACTTCTCGGAGGGCCGAGTCGTTCTAATGTCAGAGGCGTCCAACCAAACCTTATCACCAACTTGAATATTCGGAGCGTCCGAACGTTTCCGATCGTAGTACCGTTTATACTCGTCTTTGGCTTTAACGAGCGCGGCCTTTGCCTCGGAGACGCCGTTTGCTATCCGATCGCGAAACTCGTTCACCGACTCCAACTCTGAGCGGGCGCCTGGCTCGAAACCCATTCGGGGGGAGCCGACCAGTGTCAGTCATAAAGGGTACCTGTTGAGTGGAGGAGTGAACGTGGTTGTTATAGGCGAACTCAGCGGCAGGGATAAGCTCATCCCAGTCGTCTTGTTGGTAGTTGGTGAAGATCCGGATGTACTGCTCGAGCTCTTGGTTAACACGCTCGGTTTGTCCGTCGGTTTGCGGGTGATAAGCCGTGGAGGTAGCCGGTTTGACGCCAATTAAGCGCCAGAGTTCGCGCGTGAAGTCAGCGATGAACTGTGAGCCACGGTCCGAAATGTACTTCTCGGGGGTTCCGTGGTGCCTCCAGACGTTCCGATAGTACAAGCGGGCAGCTCCGACCGCGTCTATTGTCGTATGGCACTCAGTGAAGTGGGCACGCTTCCCGAGGGCGTCAACCACTACCATAACCGCGTCATACCCATGGGCCTCGGGCAGCTCGACAATGAAGTCTACAGTGACAGTGTGCCAACGTTCGGGCGGGACTTCGGTCGGATGCAGCTCTCCATGCGGAAGCCTTCGGAGGGCCTTCGTGCGGCAGCATAAGTCGCAGGTCGCGACGTAGCGTCCGATATGGCGAGACATCTGCGGCCACCAGTAGTTGCGCGAAACCAACTCTAAGGTCTTGAACCGCCCGGACAAGTTCGGAGCCAGGCCCAGAGACGGTGACGGCCTCAAGCGCGCGAACATGGAACAGTTCGGGGCGTAAGAGGGTAACATCCGAGTTGTCATCGGAGATGCCGTGGTCAGGCCGACGAGAGAGAGCGTCGGGGCGGCCCATCTGGCGACCTGGGACGTGGTGCAGCGTGAAGTCAAACCTAGAAAGGTACAACGACCATCGGGCTTGCCGACGATTAAGGTGCTGTGCCTTTCGGAAATACTCCAAATTCTTATGGTCAGTCCAGATCTCGACCGGATGCGCGGCACCCTCGAGGAAATGCCGATACTCCTCGAGTGCGCGGATGATCGCGAGCATCTCCTTGTCGTGAATCTCGTAGTTGCGCTGGACATCATTTAAGCTTTTGGAATAGAACGCTATAGGGTGCCACTTCCCGTCCGGGGCGGATTGTTGTGAAAGAACCGCCCCCGTTGCATAATCTGAGCTGTCTGCTTCAAGTCGGAAAGGCCGGGAGTCGTCCGGGATCGCTAAGACGGGCTCTGAGACGACCGCGTCTTTGATAGCTTGAAAGGCGGCGGCCTTGGCGTCTCCCCAGGCCCATTTCTGGTCTTTCTTGGTGAGCGCGAAGAGAGGTTGCGCTAGGGCCGAGAAATCCCGAATGAACCTGCGGTAGAAATTAGCAAACCCCAGGAACTGCTGGACGTCCTTCTTGTTCTCGGGCGGAGGCCATGCGGAGAGTCCGGCAACCTTAACGGGATCCATTTCGACGTGGTTGTGAGAGATGATAACCCCCAGGTACTCGATCGATGATTTCTCGAAGTCGCACTTCTCCTTGCGGAGGTACAGCTTGTGCATTTGGAGTCGCCGAAGGACTTCGTGTTGAGGATATGCCCGGCCGGCCGGCCGGACCATCCACGGTCACATGACCTCGGACTGACTCGCCTCCAACGCGGCTCAGTCAGCACTTAGCAAGACTTGTAGATAGTTACAGAACATTCTAGATACTCTTACTTGTAGTATATATACTGGGCTGAAAGCCCCCAATATCATCTCATTCTTGTTCTCTCCGGTTCATCTACTCTCAACAGGTTATGGGCCCCGCCCTAAACTGAACAGTCTCTCGATATCTGTCTTACCCCCGCGTATCAGTCTTATCGATCAGCCAGCACATCGCTACGTCATAATCCTCATTATCCAGCATGTCTGACGCTACCACCTCCGCTTATCGCATTCAGCACCTTGCCGGGTCCACCGACTATCCCACATGGGCTGTCAAGCTCACCGACATCTTGACAGATCTTCAGCTCGATGACTATCCAAAGGGTCGCATTCTCAAGCCTGGCGCCGCAGCGCCTGTCGTCGTCGTTTCGCCTCCAGCAGGCACCGGCACAGCCTCCGCCCAGCAAACTGCTGCAGCCGCGCCCGCGGCACCTGCTTCCACCAGCACACAGACTGTCGCTGAGTGGGAACGCAAGGACCGCCAGGCCCTGTCAGCCATCCGACTTCGCGTATCAGACGGCCCGCTCGTCTACATCACCAACTGCACCACCTCCAAGGATGCGTGGGACACATTGGAGAAGATGTACCGACCGCGCGGCGCATTCGCTGTCATTCTCCTGCGCCGGAAGCTCTTGCATCTCCAGTGCCCAGAAGGCAGCGACATCGAAGAGCACATCCGGAAGCTCACTGCACTCCGGACACAAATCCAAGCCCTCGGCTCTAAATTTGAAGAAGACGAGTTCTCCACGGCCCTCCTCACATCCCTCCCGGAGTCCTGGAACTCATTCATCCAGACTGTCGACACCTCTTCCTTCACCGACTCTGCCCCGATCATCGCGCGCATCCTCGAGCAGGATCGCCAAAAGAACGCCAAGCCCAACTCAGATGCTGTCGCGCTACCCGCCAAACCCTTCAAGCCCAACAAGTCCCGCGCGGACACCGTTTGCTATGGGTGTGGCCGACGCGGACACATGGTTGGCGATTGTCGGGACACGAAGAAGGGCAAGAAGTTCACGGAGGAGCAGAAGCGCCAGAATTACCAGCGGTCCCTGGGAAACGGCAACGGCCAGTCGGGCCGTGCTCACGTCACGGAGGTGACATCATCTCCTGACGAAACGGCTAACTATGCCTTCACTGCCGCCCCGTCTCTTACCACCGGCCTGGATGTATGGCTCGCTGATAGCGGCGCCACTAAACACATAGCTCGTAATAAATCTATCTTTTCCTCGTATACGGAGACCCCCGGCCAGTCTGTCACCGGCTTCGGCGCAATGCCAAGCCCCGGTATCGGCAACGCCGAGATCGCTTCCCACGTAGGCAACAACGCCTACTCGCTCACACTCAAGAACACACTGCACGTCCCCGACGCGCCGTACAA